TAATGCAATACATTGTCAATTATGTAAAAAAAATTGTTTTAATATTTGTAGTCTATTTTTAATTATATTCCATTAATATTTTATTTTATTTTTTATTAATTAATAATTTGTGAAAAACTAAAATATAATCATATATATATATATATATATATATATATATATATATATATATATATATATATATATATATATATATATATATATTAAATAATAAAATAAACAAAAACAAAAAATAAAATAAAGGAGTCATCTTCATGCAATGCAATTGGCCTTTCTTATTAAAATTAAAAGGTTGTCAATTACTTTAACTCGACCTTTTAAAATTATATGAAAAAATGAAATTTAATCAATTCCTATCATATTTTTTGTCACATCAAATTTTAAATTTTAAACTTTAAACTAACAATATAATATAACAAATTAATAATTTTTTATTAAATAACAGTATAAATTTATTTAATATTTAAAAGTATAATATATTAGATTTTAAATTGAAAAGCGGATTAGTTTGGGTAATAAATTAAAAAAAGAAATTAGTTTGATAAAAAAATTCCCAGATATATGTTAAAACACTAGTTTATAGAAATAGAAAAAGAAAAAGTAAAACCATCTGGAAAGAAAATCCGTGTATTTTATTTTGGCGTTGTCGACAAGACGTGTTGTCGACGTGGGTGGTCAATTCAATTCAATTTGTAGGTCCCACACCAAGTCCCTAACACATACTAGAGCTGTTAATTAAAAGTTGTTACATTGTTCCGTTCAATTTACTAATTGATAAAGTAGTAAAAAATAAAAGTGCGAATTCGAATTTCCACGTATTTATATTTGTAGAAAAAAAACCGTCAAGTTCCGTTACTACCAAGTTAGTGTTAGTGTCCCACTCGCATTCTCTACCAACTCCCACCCACCAATTCAACGGAATTCTAACTCCGTCAACATCCCCTATCTCTCTTCCCATGCTTTCTCTTCTCTCTCTTCCCCTTTTAATATTCCATAATATTTTTGTATTCTTATATAACCCTACACAAAGATTCTTCTACTTTTTTTGTGGAACTTGCCACCTTCACCATCGATTTCAGTGTTCTTAAGAAAAGAATAGAACATCTGTTTTTGATTTAATGGATTAACATTACTGGGTTGGTTTTGATTTTCTGTGTTGTTGAGGATTTTAGATAAAGTTTCAATTTTTATTTTCTGCGAAAATAATGTGGGCTAGGTGGCGGTGTTCCAGTGGGGGCTTTAGGTCATTGAGCAAAAGGGTATCTTCTATTGTCAATGAAACTCATGGTTATGACGAAAAGCTTCATCCTTTTGGATTTGGTTCTCATTTGTTAGGTTTAAGGAGTGTTGTTACAGTGACATGTGGTGGTGGTTGGGGAAGGGGAAAAGGGGTTGAATGTTTATCAGTTATGATGAACCAGATGAAGAGGGGTTTATCATCTTCTTCTTCAACTGTGGTTGGAGATGGTAATGGAAAAGAGGAGAGTATATCATTCTCTGAGGCTAAGAAGCTTATGAGATTGGTGAATGTGGAATCACTGAAGATGAAACTTGGGATGGAAGGGAAGGAAGTTATTTCGTATGGTGAACTTCTTCAAGCTTGTGAGAGTTTTGGTATTGCTAGGAATCATGATGAGGCTGCTACTTTTGCAAAGGTTCTTGATGAGGCTGGGGTTGTTTTACTCTTCAGGGATAAGGTTTATCTGCATCCTGATAAGGTGTGAACTTTAACTCTTTCAATTGTATCTTTTCCTTGTTTATTTTTTTTCAGTTAGAATTTTATTTGTTGTCTGTTTGTTTGTTTATGATTGATATATGAATACAATTTGTGTAAACCCCCGCCGCTGCTCGGTTGGTGAGGGCTTGGGTCGTGAGTGTTGGGATCTAAGAGAGTGTTTCTCTCAAGGTCTCATGTTCAGATTCTGCTAGGTGGCATCAATTCATGTGTTTGGTCAGTCCATACAGGGCTGGCTTTAAATGGGCCCCCGCTAATTGACGGTAGGATTGCTTCCCTCCGATACCAAGCTTTAAAAAAATACAATTTGTGCTTGTGGGGCTCATGAGAAGATCTAATCTGTCTATTACTCATTAGTATTTCTTAGCTACATTTGATGTCATTTTTCTTCTTTTAAGTGAGGGGGTCCTTTATGGCCCATTTGTTACACAACCCTTTTTTAATTGGGAAATAATTGGATTAGCATTGGACAATGTCAATACCTTTGAGACCAAACATGTATGATGGGGTTTTTCAACCTTAAACAAAACATTCACTACTTGGTTGGATTATATGTCATTCTGTTAAAAAGGGATTGGCAAAAGGTTTCAACCTGAGATAATTTCATGAACCACCATTTAGCTTAACTCCATGATAATGCCTCATTCTACACCTTTGTGTCTGCTTCAATTTTCAAAACTACATTTATTTCTTTATGGTTTGTTTGGTAGGTTATCTAACATGAATTATTTACGAGGAATCTGTCTGTTAAGTCCTAGACAATGTTTGGATAGAATCTTATTTTCCTCATCAGCATTTTCTTAAATTTTCATGTTTCTAAATTCATTGTTTCTGTTGTCTGTTTTGCTATTTTCTGCGTGTTTAGGTGGTGGATCTGATACGAAGAGCCGTTCCACTGGCACTAACTTCTGACGACGATCCTATGAGGGACGAGTTAAAGAAACTGCAAGACAAGAAAATAGAAATTGACATGCTGGCACATAAACAGGTGCGGCGCGTCCTTTGGTCTGGACTAGGATTTGGTGTATTCACTGTTGGGCTCTTCTTCCGGCTAACATTCTGGGAATTCTCATGGGATGTAATGGAACCTATTGCATTTTTTGCAACCACAACCGGATTGGTTACGGGCTATGCTTACTTTTTGATCACTTCAAGAGACCCTACTTACCAAGACTTGATGAAGAGGCTGTTTCTTTCAAGGCAGAGGAAGCTTTGTAAGAAACATAATTTTGATGCAGAGAGATTCATGGAGCTTCAGTGCAAGTGCAAGACACATATACATTCTAGTACTGTGTTGAAAAATAGCACAGGGTTTGATGTTGATCTTGATGATGCTTTACATAGAGATTAACATTTTGAGTTAACGTTGTTCCACCTGTTTTAACATTGGTGGGAAAATGTTTAATCTAACCATAACCATAGTTTTGGTTTATTAGTAGTTAATACACACATATCTCCATCATTCTCATGACCATGTATAATACATTAGTAATACCGTATGCAACTATTACTTTTCTTCAATTTCTTGTTAACAAGAGATATTCATTAAAGAAGTAGGTTGTTTTGTCTATTCTTTGAGGGTCATTGCGGTAATTCTGACCTTTTTCCCATGTTGGTTTTTTCCTTCAATTTGTGGGTTGCGGGTGCATGTATTTACAATATCTGAAATTTTATATCTTGGTTTCATTAACCTGTTGCCGTTGAAGTGGTTCTAAATTTGGGTAAAATGGGGATGAATTGATTTTGTTTTTTCATTTAATTAAAAAACAGTAATTTTTTAATCTTAATATCACTAAAATAGATTTTATTTTTTTGTTAAATAGTCTAGTGGCAAGAATTCATCTTTTAAAGGTGAATAAGGCAAATGTCTAGGTTTGAATTTGCACTTTTATTTTTGATGATCTTGTACAACTATCAACTGGGCAGAACCACGACAATAGATTTTATAGTTTTTGTTTTAACCTAAAAAATGTCATCAACCAATGGTCGCTTACCACTATCGACAATCACTATGAAAACTTTTGATCACAATTTTTGTCACTTTTGACCAATCTTATCCATCACTTGGATGTCATCTTAGATCATCACTCTAACAACTTTTGATCACTCTTGACCAATCTTATCCATCACTTGGATGTCATCTTAGATCATCACTCTAACAACTTTTGATCGCCATTTTTATTACTTTTGATCAATCTTATCCTTCACTTGAATGTCATATTGACCATCACTCTTGCAACTTCTGATCACCATTTTTACCTTCACACTCTTGCAATTTTTTTATTATCATTTTCTTCACTTTAAACCAACCTTGTTTATCGCTTGGATGCCATATTGACCATCACTCTGCTACTTTAATAACTTGTTTTTCGTCACTTTTGATCAACCATGTACATCACTTGGATGTCATCTTGACCATCATTGTGCTACTTTAATAACTTGTTTTTCGTCACTTTTGATCAACCTTGTCCATCACTTGGATGTCATCTTTGACCGCTATGGCCAAATTTCTATCAATTACGGCTTCAACCTTGACTATGACTATCATAAACCACCACTCCAATTATCTCTGATCACCACTCTAGTCAACTTCAATCACCAATTCTCTAATCATCATTGACCACCACTTTAATCATCATTGATCGTTGCGGCCACTTAATCACTTAACAACACTCTAACCTCTCTGATCACAATTCCGACCACTCTAGACACCTACAATGTCATTCTAACCACCATTTTGGCTATTGCAACCACCATTTTAGCCACTAGTCTGTTTGACACCTCCGACTATATCAGCCACTTGTTCACCATCACCACTTATATATACCCTACCATCTTAGATCACCACAACTTTGAACCATTATTATTAAAAATAGTAATATATTATGAATTGATAGTGAAACAGGACAACTTGTGGTTTAATTCAGAAAACAAGTACTTAAGTTTCAATTTGTAACTTAAATATAGAATTAAAACTCAAATTTTAAATTAATTTGTTTTCAAATTTTTAAACAGAAAACCAAGAATCATTGACATTATCATAAGTATTAACTAAGTGATAACAGCTTTTACAAAAAAGGAAGTATTAGACTTTTTAAAGATGAACCAGGATGAAAGCTTTGGTCGAATCAAGATAACCAAACTGTTGGTCATGCAATCATTTAAACTCATAATTCGCCTAACATTTTAGTAACAATGCAAGAAACCATTGAAAAACACCACTTTCTACAAGCATGGTCACTACAAACTCTATGCATCAAATTCTTTACATAGCCTTGTACACGTTACCTTTCTTATATATTGAAAAGTCAAACTCAAGGCAATTTAGCAGTTCAACAATGGAATCTTGATTGGATCCATTGAAGTGCTCCAACATATCAGTCAAAGTAGCCTGAAACCAATAAATCACACATTTATTACCACAAAATAAAGGATATAAACAGATATCATAAAGCTTTTAATCTGTAATATAAACAAGTTCTCACGAACCCCTTCATCAAGGTTTTCCAACCACTCTACAATAGAACTTGATGTAGCTTTCAATTTAATTATTTTCACTTCCTCTGTGTCACTGACTTTCAGTCGTTTGCTTGTTGGAAACTCTTGTACCTGGCAAACATTGACTGGTTCAGAAGGTACCACTTCATTAATTTCCATTATACTTTCCGTAACAATGTTAGCTTGAGGATGACTTTCTGCGTCGTGTGTTACTGAAGATGGTTCTGACGAATTTGATGCATTGTTTACAGCTTCACCATCTTTCCCAAACTGGTGACCTTCAGATTGGATACTTTCTAAGGATACCCCACAGGTTTGCATTGTTAAGTAAACCTTGATGTGCAGATATGTTATCTGCACCATGAAAAATTATTCAATCTCAACCTTGTCAAATAATAAATCCAAAATCAGAAAATTTCCATTTAGATTGAAATGCATTGGCTATATTTGCACATCAATGATCAAGAGATGTGTAATGAAATTATGAAGGCCATAGACTTTAACTCACCTCTTCTGGCAATTCATTTTTTATAGGCTTCAATTTATCAGCAGATCCAGCTTTTACAATAGCGCCCTGAATTGCTAATATGTAATCTTGTTTAAGCCCTACCGCCTCGCATAATCTTGTCCAATCAATCGGTAATCCTTCTAGGGCAGCATCCAGCAGATACTGAATAACAGTTTGTTCTTGAATAGGAGCTGATCTAGCTGGAAAGTTCTGAGATTACTAATACAGGGGAGGGAAAAGGAAGAAGTTATACATTAAAAATGTGAAGCATGGATCTTTAATATAACAACAGATTAGTAAGACATACAGCAATCTTCTGAATAGAAAGACCTTCATGCCACATTTTCCATGCTTCAAGCTTTGCTCCTGACAGCTTGGCTGATTTGATTGTTACTACCGGAGACACTTTCCGTACTTCATTAGTTTGGATTATCGGTTGACCATCCAATGATAAGTTTAATTCTTGTGATAGTTTCCGAATAGCTTGAAGAAAATGGTCTCCATATCTTGTTACTAGGTGCTGTACAAAATGGCTCAGAGTTTAGTATTTCAAATGTCAGAATTGATGAGATACTTTTTTTCCCTTTGTATTGAAAACCCTATAACTTCAACGTGCCTGATTCACTCCATCAATATTTGCTAGCCTTGCTTTTGTAGATGGTCTTATCAAAGCAATTTTTCTGATGGTTTGATCACCACATAGAGCATATCTACACAGGTATAACAGCTTCATGAAGAAACTGCAGATCAAAGAAACTGTAGTAGGACTGGCTGTCCTGAAAGTGTTAAAAGATAAAATAAAACTTACGGAGCTGTTCCAACACTTCTTGCAAGATTTAATCTTTCTTCTAAAAGCATTTGATAGAGCTGTCCCTCAGCCTGAGTAGAGAAGTATAACACAAAGAATTAGAGTTGACATAGGGCTAATGTTTCTTAAAAACAATATAAATTGAAAACAGCAAAACTGGTGTCCACTTATACAAGAAGCTTCATGGGTGTGCATAGCATGAGTTTTGATCCATGATGGATAAACTTCTATTAATCATTGATATATAATAAAATTTAAAATAAAATAGTAATAATAATAAGTGATTATTTCACAATTATCAATGGTTATTGCGTATTAGAAATCGATCCATGGTCAATCAAAACTCATGTAGTCCATATTACTATGCTCTCTCAAGCTTCATTGAGGAGAAAAGGAGTTGAAAAAACATAACACCGCTTCATCACAACCTCTGAAAAACCTTCAGATTCTGAAGTGGCCAAAGTTTTGAATTCTTCTGCGCTTCTAGTTTCCTCTTCCGCGAGCTCACCAATCAATGGCAAAACCAAAGGAGGTTGATAGTCTGGTCTACAGGTGGCCAAAAATTGCTCTCCTTTTGAACTGACACTGGTTCATAAAAGAACAGGGTTTATGTTTGATTGTAGTTTCGGTTATGAAACATTACATATACAAAGAAACTAAAGGAACATATTAGATGGGTTTTGACATTGAAAAACTAATATTAACAATTAAGTGTAAATGCTTCAAATAATTGTTGTGATCTACCCAATAACTGGCGTACCTTACATTTCTGTACACGTCACTGACAAACTCCTTCAAATAACCTGTAGAACATTAGTCAAGTCAATCACAATTTGATCTCACAATTTTCTTGAAATTAAATTTAAAGATCGATATTTGTTTCTGTAAGTTGTGAAGTATGCCATATGTAAAATGTATTGCAGCAAGAAATAAACTTAATAAGCCAAATAAAGGGCAAGAGATGCATGAAAATTAACTGCATTTAAAAAACGTAACAGTGAACAAGAAAATAAAACTTCAATTACAAGGTTGAATAGAAAGGGGGAAGCATGATTTCATTTTCTCAACCTAACAAAACCATTTCTAGGTTGCACAATGGTATTGTCCACAAATCAATGACCATTTTAGATATCTAGTGCCCCCAAAGCATAAAAGACATTTTGTTATATGGATTTTGTTTTTGCTTGTGAGGAAATCCTTTTCAAGCGCTAAACAACAGGCCCTTAAGCTGTGAGGAAATCCTTTTCAACCGTTCTGAAGCATAGCAAGATCGCCAATTGACGAAACTGTTTGACCATAAGCTATGACTGCAACTGAATAAATTATTTCTACTCAAAATACCTCCAAGTGCTTTCCACCAATTTGCTTGGTATGCTTTCCCAAGTCCATGAAGTGGAAGCTTGTCATATTGAGCTTCCGTTATTTTCTTTGCCTACAAGCCATGAGTACATACAACTATCAGCCGTTGGAAGGTAATGGGAAAATTTAAAGGCAACAATCATGCTTGAATGGAAACCTAAATAAAAACCCTGGTGATATTTTTTACACTTACAGAGTACATTAACTAGAAGGTAAATAAAGGTGCGATAACATACAAGGCAACATTTTACAATGCTTTTTAAGTGCATCAACTAGATAGAAAGTCTATTTGTTTCGATAATTAAGAATTTGAATATGGTCATCTACATGGCGTATATAAATTAATAAGAACTTTGGCTTCAACTGTCTATCAGAATAACAGAATGTAGGATTTATAGTTTATTGGTCCCTGTATATCATTTAATCTTGAGCTAAGAGAGCCTTTTTGTGAGAGGAATGATTGTAATCTTCGTTTAAATAAGACTAATACAGTTTTTTACACCAAATATCATGTGATTTAAAGAGGCCCTTTTTGTGCAGTGGATAATTGTAATCTTCATTATATTTTAACGTTTTCACAATGATAATATGCCAAAAGACAAAATGGAGAGTGCCTAATGAATAGAGCAAGAAACTAATGCCACCAAAAATAACTCAACTGGATAAATTACTTTTATATGATACTGAAAACACTTCCTACTTTTAATTTTGAACAACTCACTCGAGAACCGCGCAGGATGTCAATCGGCATATTAAGGCCCCATCTTCCCTTGCATGAATGAATGCAAGCCAATAGAAGAAAGGCTTCTTTTGACATGTCGCGGTGTTGCTTCAAGACCGTGCAGTTATCACAGTTTCCTACAGGCAAGATATAAAAGAAAATGAAACAAAGCAAACTGAAAATGCGAAAAGTTTTTCCAAGGTGAGATTACTGCTGGATTTTGAAAACTCCAATAACTAGCTAATATATTTATCAGGGGGTTTCAAGTTGACTTTAATAGTAACCACTTTGGTACATGAAATATGTGTACTTCAACTTGAGAGATTGTTAGAATTAAACACACTATTTCCTATTTCTATAAGGTCAATTGTAGAATTGTATTAAAGGACCTAAGTGAAAGGCAAACCACATCTCTCAGCTGTAAATTTTTCTCCGAAGTGTTCTAGCAAGAACTTTCTTCTGCAAGTTGCCGTCAAACAATAGTGTTGAGCCTCAAGCAACGACTCCACAACAGCTTTTTTTTGGTTTTCCTGGTACATTGGAGACCCAAACACATTACGAAGAGAATCGGGACAACTCGTACACAGGAAATATGCACATAGTCAGCAAGTTCAAAGCTCACACACACACACACACACACACCGATTTTAAATCTGTCGCATAAAAATCGCCCTTTGAAAAGTCACTTCTTGTGTAGTAAAGCCAACAAGCAGAAGCTATACCATCTCTGCCACATCTCCCACTTTCCTGGTAGTAGGACTCTAGATTTTTAGGGCAGCCATAATGAATCACTTTTCTTATATTAGGTTTATCTATGCCCATCCCAAAGGCAATTGTAGCCACCATGACTTGCTTTTCATCTCTAATAAATAATCTGAAAAAATTAACAGTCAGTTATGATAAAACCGCATCCATCCTCCACACCAAAATGATCGAAGCACGAAACCAATTTATATTCTTCAAATATATAGGAAAAAATGCTTGCCTGTGAGACTCCTCTCGTGATTTCCCATCCATTTGCCCATGGTACATTCCAGCATTAATACCGACTTCCATAAGTGACTTATATATCTATATAAAAAAATATCAATATCAAATTAATACAAAAGTAAAAGCTGCAGTTCATACGCAACAGAATTTAGACAATGGAAATCCAAATACTGATGGCCAGAAACCCATAACATATAGACAAAAGAGCAATTGAACAAAACAAGGTGTATACTGAAATATTGTCTAAGGTCAGGAACAAATAATACTCGCTCGGCGAGTTTCAATTCAACAATAATTTTTTTACAAATGTTAGAATGAATTTTACAAATAGACTGAAATGATGAACAATATATCCCATAAAAGAAATACCATGCAACACTGCTTTAAACTATTGTGCCTAAAAACAAAAAAATCTTGAGCTACATCATAGTAGTTCATTAATACACAATTGACAATAATAAATGATATTTTTTTATCGAAATTTAAATTCAAATAGTATTATTTATTTTCAATACAAGAACAAGATAAACAATTGGCTCATGTTAGGGTTCAAGTGAACAGGGATAATGATAGCATGGTAGCATTATTTTTGGTTTCACTTAACATTTCTAGCATATTACCTGTTCTACATCTTTGATTGTTGTGCAGTAAATTATAGTTGAACAACCATTAGCAACTTCTTTTGAAATTTCTTCCACAAGCTCATCAATAAAATATTGTCCTCGGTTAAATTGCTTGACACCATAGAAAAGATTTGGGCGATCAAATGAACCAACAACAATGTAAGGATTATTCATCTTCAAGGAATTGGTGATGTCAAACCGAACCCTGGCAATATGGCGGCACATAAATGAACACAAGTGAAAACAATGCTAATTCTTGAATAGAAAACATCAGGTAAATTCATTGATCAATATTTACCTGTATTTAGTGAA